AATTCCCATAATCATCAGAAAAGTCTAAAAAAAAAATTATAAAATAAAGCGTCCATCACCACACATTGTTTGGGAGGCTTTTATGAAAAAATAAAGAAAAGAAAATGCTCTCTTCTGAAGGATTTAAGGATCCTCAAATGCAAACTGTGTGTGTTTTGCTTCAAGAGAAAAACCATACGTTTCTGTTGTGTTTTACTTTCTTTCATTCGTTCATTCATTCATTTATAATAATTTTTAATTTAATCATTTTATTATTACATTTAATCATTTACAATAATCATTAGCCATTTATATACTCATTTCATTGATTCATTACTTGATTGGTCATTTATATCATATTCTTGATTTTTTAATATTATTTTTCCATTGTTGTTTAGTCTTATGGCTGTGTGGTTTCAAGGGCTGTTTGTTTTCATGAATAAGAAATAAGAGGGAATGTTTATGGAGATTTAAGGTTTATGGGATGTTGTTGTGAAGAGGTTTGGTGTAACATTACTGGTTGGATTTGTGCTGGTCAGACGAAGTCATACACATCTAAGAATATTCAATAAACTCTGCTACTTTTTATCATAATTTTGTCTCCTGCTTCTGCTCTTTACTGGCTTCTTGACTGATAGAAGACTGTTAATACAATTTTGGGTACCAGACAAGAATAGCTGTTAACAGGTTTTGGGCATTAGACAATTTTGACAATTGACATTTTGCATTTAGACAAAATGGAGCCTATTTTATTTTTATGCATGATTTAACACATTCAAAAACATACTCCAGCATATTTATTTGTCAGACACTACTGGAACTTCAAATGGGACTGGGTTTTATTGTCACCTTTGTTTATATTTTAACAATACAGATTGTGTCAAAGCAGCTTTACAGTGTCAAATAGGAAAATAGTGTGTCAATAATGCAAAAGGACAATAGTAAACACTTAATTTTCAGTTAAAGGCAGTTCATCATTGAATTCAGTGATGTCCTCGTCCAGCTTAGTTCAGTTTGAATAGTGTCTGTGCAATCAAGTCGATGATATCGCTGGAAATGAAGTCTCCCCAACTAAGCAAGCCAGAGGTGACAGCGGCAAGGAACCAAAACTCCATCGGTGACAGAATGAAGAAAAAAACCTTGGAAGAAACCACCCAGGTAGCCAAAACGGTTTGGCCCAATAATGGCCCAGATCCGGCAGGCCAGAAGAAATAACTCGGCCCGGTTGCCAGACTCGGCTTGGACATGGGATGAATGACGCCCCAGAATCGGCCCAAATACACTGGCCCGAGTCTGGCTGCCAAAACGCGGTTTTAGATTAAAAGCGAGCGATCAAATTAGTCAGATTAGTTTGATAGATGACTTCAGATATATGGTGGGAATTAAGTTATATTTTATCACTTTAAACAACAGAGAGTGATAGTAAGATATAGATTCAACAGAAAAGCAAAGCTACACGGAGCTAAAATCGCAAACCACTCAGCAGCACAGCAGACCAACGGCCTATAGCTTGACAATAATACTCAAAATAGCTTGTGGTTTGGCTTGTCAGATGAAACTAAAAAAATACTCAAGATGTGTTTGGTGCACACAGGGATAAAAAAGTACCCCATGTATACAATCAAATATACTGCTGTATCTTTAATGTTGTGCGCCTACTTTTCTGCTGGAGGTCCTGGACATCTTGTTCAGATATACACAGCATCATGGATTCTATTAAATACAGATACAAATAAAAACCTGACTGCCTCTGTTAGAAATCTTATAATGGGCCGAGGCTAAATCTTCTATCAGGTCAATGATCAATCAATCAATCAATCAATAAGATAAAAACAAACATAAACATCAAAAAAGGGGGTCACTGAGCACCAAATTAAGGTTATGCCAGCTATTCCAGTCCCCTGACCTGAACTATGGACTTGAGAAACTGAAGATTTAATTTAATAATGATATTTCCCCCCATTTTGAATTGTTTATATATACACGCACATATATACACGCTTCGCATCGGGTGGATCTAGTGTTGTTTGTGTTTAGTGTGCACTGTTGCATTGTTTTTGTATATGCTTTTGTTTAGTTCATTAAATTTACTGCATTTTGAACTGCTACAGCTCTTTATTTTGCGGACCTATCCGTGACCGCATCAGGGTTAACTTCAGTCTTCTCTGTTTTTATTACAGGTTTAGGGACCTGTTCTGTAAAAGAAACAAAAGTGTAAGTTCCAGTCCACAGACAAACAAAATAAAATAAAAAACAACTACACTAGCCTCGTGAAAAGTGCTGTGACAGTACCATGGTACAACGGGATCACTGGGGCAAAGGCGCATTTGATTTGATTTTTCTCTAAAACATGAGATGATGCAAAAACACACTTTTCTACTGTACATCTGTACATTGGAACTTACCTGGAACTTTGGCCATTCGTTGACATGATCACGGCAGCAAGTTGATTATGTGCTCTTTGATTTAATTTGATATTATATCGATAAATGGAGCAAATGAGAATGGATAAAATTGCATTATACATGTTGAGACACTTTGTCTTGTTAATATTTTTTTTAATGAACATATTTAAATGACAATAGATTTATTGAACAAATTATCATTATTCATCAAAATGACCAGAAAAGAGTAGAAACTTTGCAAAAGGGATTGATCTGAACAAGAACTAACTTGCAAAAAACACAGCATTAATCGTTGTTGTCTAAAATGTACCCTCAATCCAAAACCAGGAGAAAAACGCCATCAGTCAAAAACTGCCACCCACCTCCCAACATAAAGGTAATTGTCTATTATCTTCTTATCTATATCCCATTCCAGTTTTGAGTGGCACACAGCAAAACCAACCACTGTCACATAACTTAAATCCACAAAGTTCAGGATAGTTAAATCTTGATGGCAGATTTATTTCAGTCTCGCTCCTCTTCTCAGTACTTCTCTCCACGCCAGTCTTGGTAAAAAAAATTAAGCAGAAGAGATTCTCTTTGAAAATAAAATATTTGCATACATAACAGTAGATTCAGAACTGGAGGATGAAATTCCAACACCATCTGCATGGCCCAGCAGACACAGAGGTCCAAAAGCAACAGTCAAAGTTATGAAGGCACAGATAGTTAAGAGCTCCAGTTGCTTCAGTAAAGCTGGGATTTAGAATCGACTGTCATTTCTGAGGGAGGCAAAAACAGGAAAAATGCTAATAATTGAATGTACATTTTAAAACATAGCTGAAGTTGATCACTAAAAATCTATTTGATTTGTCTGTGATGTTGCACATTAATATTTTTCACAAGGAATTAAGAAAATAAACTTACTCTGGAAGTCTTGTGTCTCCCATAGCAAACAGCACAATAATCTTTGAGAACAACAATGACAATCATTTACAGTAAACATGAAATCCTAATTGGCCCTATTTACTTTATTAATACAGATTCCAAGTTTTATTGTGAACATTTCACGAGTGTGTGTTATTCTATATATATATATATATATATAGTCTTACCGTGACAAGGCGGTATAAACAGGAAAAGGATGATAAAAACCATGCTGATTGAAACAATGGCAATCCAAATGACAAATCCCCGTAAATCTAATGAAAAAAAAAATATGTTAAGCTAATAAAACAATTTCACAACCACACACATTTAAGTGATTCGATTCAGGTTTTTAAAGGGATAGTTCACCCAGAAATGAAAATTCTGTCATTAATTACTCACGCTTATGTCGTTGCAAATCTCTAAGACCTTTGTTCATCTTTAGAGCACAAATTAAGATATTCTTGATGAAATCCGAGCGCTCTCTGACCCTGCATAGACAGCAAGGGTCCTTACACGATCAAGGTCCAGAAACGTAGCAAGGACATCAGTAAAACAGAGCATGTGACATCAGAGGATCAACCGCAATGAAGCTATGAAACTACTTTTCGTTCATTACCTTCAGCAAGTATGAAAACAGGAAAACAAAGACAAAACCTGGATATTTTAGGCAATATAGAAATCCTGGCCAGGACGTGTCCAGTAAAGCCACCCTATTAATGACAGAATAAAAATTTTTGGGTGAATTATCCCTTTAAAAAACACTTTATTACTGAGTTATTTTCATGATTTTTTGGGACTAGTCAAGTTTAAATTAGTTTGGAAAAAGAGATATTGTATGGGTAATTAAAAATATTATAATATATAATAATAATCAATAAGTTATAATTTATTCAATATCATAGTATTGTAGGTTAACTGAATATATATATATATATTATTATTATTATTTTCATTTTTTATTTTTTGCCTACAATACTATGACATTACTGAACTGGTTTATGCCTTTTACAAACACACTCGAGATGCAAAGAGCAAATACAGAGGAAGTTCAGAGACCGAAACCACAAACATGCGGCATTGGGTTGGTCTTTCATTAAGCGTTCAGCATTTATTGCTGCTATCTTGTGTGAGTTCATGGCAAATGTTCAATGTCATGGTCTGGTACAAACATGCAAGACTACCATCAAGACCACCATCACCACAAAGAACCACCACTGCATACTGCATGACAAATGAGACCATACCAGGTGATGGCACGGCAGAGCTCAATCTCCCTCTCTAAATTGATGAAAACTTTAGTGTCTCTCCAAAAAATAAAAATAATAATGCAAATAAGTCCTTGTGTGGAAGAGAGCATCTGAGGGTTTTAAAATTTGAATTAAAATTTCAAATTTCAAACTTAATTTCGAGAACACCCAAGAAACGTATTTTTCTGAAATGTTAAATGTCTGAAAGTTTAAGTGTGTTTGTGCTGTCGTTCTGTCTTCTAATAGATTACACTTTCATTTATATTTTAATACCTAATTCTAATGCAATGACATTCAGATATTTTAAGCATGAATATATATACATATATATATATATATATATATACTTGTTGAATGTAATTGCAACTTCTGAAGAGAAACGAGCAAACTACCTAACCACCAGCACCACCTAAACATAAAACAATTATTTCAGAGATTTTCCTCCTGAAATAAATCTTACCTTCAAACAGATCTCTCTCATAGACCGGATCACTGGTGCTCTCTCTCACTGCATTCTTGAGCGTGCATGTGTAGAAGACATCTGGATTTCCTTGCAATAGAGCATCTCAGGACCACCTTAACATAAAAACTTATCTGACACTCAAGTGATTTTAATAAATGATGCTTACCTTCAAACAGATCTCTCTCATAGACCGGATCACTGGTGCTCTCTCTCACTGCATTCTTGAGCGTGCATGTGTAGAAGACCTCTGGATTTCCTTGTTTTTCAACTTTGAGAAGTTCTCCTTTCGGACTCTGGGGTGAGCCCTTCAGGGTTTCTCCAGCAGAATTCTTCCAGATGATCGTTTCACTGTACTCGCACATTAAATACACAGCATTAGGGTTGATTTCAATCTTCTCTATTTTTATCTCAGGTTTGGGGAGCGCCGCTGTGAAAGAAACAAAGAAAAACTTCAATGATGGTATCAGACTGTAATATCATAGCATTTTGATACAAATAATAACTTACACTAAGAAAGCATCATTGTATTATCATGTTTTGGGGCACCTTGTTTTTCAACTTTGAGAAGTTCTCCTTTCGGACTCTGGGGTGAGCCCTTCAGGGTTTCTCCAGCAGAATTCTTCCAGATGATCGTTTCACTGTACTCGCACATTAAATACACAGCATTAGGGTTGATTTCAATCTTCTCTATTTTTATCTCAGGTTTGGGGAGCGCCGCTGTGAAAGAAACAAAGAAAAACTTCAATGATGGTATCAGACTGTAATATCATAGCATTTTGATACAAATAATAACTTACACTAAGAAAGCATCATTGTATTATCATGTTTTGGGGCATGTACCATGGTATATATCACAGTACCATGATATCACAATCTGATACCATCAGAGGAGGCTACCATAGTACTGCCACAATGCAGTGACATATTATTCAGTACAATACACGCAATTGCACAGAATGATTATCACATCTCCTGGTATTTTTACATGTTACTCCAAGGCATGTCAAAACACATGATAATACCTTGCTAACTCTTGTTAGCATAATAATTGTTTTTTTATATTATTACAATTAACTAAAACATATATTAACAATATGAAAATGATGTTTTACACACAAGGATTGTTAAAAAAGGTTGACAGAATTACTAGCTGTAGTATATGTTTAGTAAAAACACGATAATAAAAATAAAATGCTTTTAAAGTTTAATATTAATAAATATAATAATCAATATCCTCTCACCCAACACTTCCAAGTTGAATCTGTGTTTCTGCTCTTTACTGTTGATGTCGATGGTATAAAGTCCACTATGTTCAATATTTAAATCAGTTATAGTGATTTCTCCAGTCTCCTTATCAACCACAGAATGATTATCACATCTCCTGGTATTTTTACATGTTACTCCAAGGCATGTCAAAACACATGATAATGCTTTGCCAACTCTTGTTAGCATAATAATTGTTTTTTTATATTATTACAATTAACTAAAACATATATTAACAATATGAAAATGATGTTTTACACACAAGGATTGTTAAAAAAAGTTGACAGAATTACTAGCTGTAGTATATGTTTAGTAAAAACACGATAATAAAAATAAAATGCTTTTAAAATTTAATATTAATAAATATAATAATCAATATCCTCTCACCCAACACTTTCAAGTTGAATCTTTGTTCCTGTTCTTTACTGTTGACGTCGATGGTATAAAGTCCACTATGTTCGAAATTTAAATCAGTTATAGTGATTTGTCCAGTCTCCTTATCAAGAGTTGTGATGCCTTTGAATATCTGATTCGGGGTGTTAAAACCATCTTCATCCCATTCAATCGCTTTTACAACAGGTCCAATGCTGTTTCTGTGTTTCCATATAATGCTGCTGACAGGAGGATTTAAGCTGGCTGGACGAAAACACACTCTACCACCGACTTCACCAAATACATTTTTCACTTCTTCACCTAATGTATAAAATATGAAATTTAGTTAACCTTAAACAAGCAAGTATCTGTTATTCACTACAGTCATTTATAATTTGTATATAATTAGGTTGTACTTCAATATAATTTAAATCAAACTTCTTTAGGGTCAACAAGAACAGATGTTGTCCAATCTTCAATTTTCTGTGTTTCCATATAATGCTGCTGACAGGAGGATTTAAGCTGGCTGGACGAAAAGACACTCTACCACCGACTTCACCAAATACATTTTTCACTCCTTCACCTAATGTATAAAATATGAAATTTAGTTAACCTTAAACAAGCAAGTATCTGTTATTCACTACAGTCATTTATAATTTGTATATAATTAGGTTGTACTTCAATATAATTTAAATCAAACTTCTTTAGGGTCAAAACCTTAAAAACATCATGTAGCCTACCTGAAACAGCTTCTGCGGTGATGAACACAACACAGATGACGAGCAACATCAAGCATCGTAGAGACATTTTTTTGTTATACAGATGACACATTAATGCACTTTTATTCTGTTTTTCTCAGAATGTTTAGAGGAAGTTCGAAAGCTGAAACGACACTGGATGCTATTGGTTGCTAATGCTGCTGTCTTTTGTACATACATGGCAAATATCTTGATGTCAGACCAAAGTGTGTGTCTGTGTTCAGGAAGACTATCAACCATGACCTACATGATGCGCTATACATAGTGCAGGAAAAATGACCACGAAAGATGATGGCAGGGCAGATCTCACTCGCCAGGGGGCGCTCTGTTGTGTCTGAATAAAGGTCAGTAGAGGAGATGCATATGTAGATTTCAGTTGAATGAGAAAATGTGTATGGAACAGATGTGTTTTTAGTAGTTTCTTGAAGATGGCTAAGGACTGGGTAGGCGTGGTTGACTCTTAACGTTTATAAAGAATTTGAGACTTTAGTCATTGCAACTTTACAGATCTTCTTTATGCACCAAGAGCTTGTAACACTCCAAAGAGAAAGGAAAACTTGAAATCGCATCATATAACCCCTTTAACTTATCGCTTTCTAATGTCAAATATGATCTGCTGGCTTGCCTTGTTTGTACTTTGTATTATTATTATTATTATTATTATTTTAAATGTACATTTACATTTAGTCATTTAGCAGTCGCTTTTATGCAAAGCGACTTACAAATGAGGACAGTGGAAGCAATCAAAATCAACAAAAGAGCAATGATATGCAAGTGCTATAACAAGTCTCAAATAGCTTAATGCAGTACACGTAGCAAGGGTTTTTAAATTATATAATAAATACAAAGAAAACAGATGGAATAGAAAAAGAATAGAGCAAGCTAGTGTTAGAGGCCTTATTTGCTTTTGTTAATTGTATAATAAATGCAAAGAAAACAAATAGATATAATACAAAAACATTAGAAAAGCTAGTGTTAGTTTTTTTCCCCTTTTTTTAAGAAAACAAGCAATAAATGAATAGAGTGCAAGTCTAAAAGGGACACTTTAAAAAAAAATAGAATTAGAATAGAGAGTGCTAGAGTTAGATCAAATAAAGATGGAAGAGATGTGTTTTAAGAGACGAGATGTGTGCTCCAATTGGGTTAGGCAGGTCATTCCACCAGGAGGGAACATTTAATTTAAAAGTCCGTGAAAGTGATTTTGTTGTTCTTTGGGATGCACAATAAAGCGACGTTCACTTGCAGAACGCAAGCTTCTAGAGGCACATAAGTCTGAAGTAATGAATTTAGGTAAAGGGGTGCAGAGCCAGTGGTGGTTTTGTAGGCAATGCCTTGAATTTTATGCGAGCAGCTATTGGTAGCCAGTGCAGATTGATAAATAGAGATAACTTAAACTTATAAACAGGGATAAATGATCCCTGTAATGGCCAAATAAACGCCAAAAAATACCTGAGACAGCTTCTGTGGAGATGAACACAACACAGATTGCACCAGACATTTTTGGTATACGAAGGACACGTTAATGCACTTTTATCCAGTATTTCTCCGAATGTCTTTTACACACCCAAGACACAAACAGAAACCGCAAGCATTGTGTTGGTCTCCATTATAACCAAGAAGCTCCCTACACTGTGCAGTGAATCTCATTTATACCGTGTGTACATTGTTACAATGAGAGGATCGCAATCAGAGGTGTTTGAGAAATCAACAGATATGTCTGTGATTGGCTACACTGTGCTCAACACTACAAAAACCCGAACTAGGAACTTTCGATGCTCTCCAGACAAACACAAACACACACTGAAGAGTTGCCAAATCTGATTTATTACAGTTTTAACTGAGGGCTCTTTTCACTGCGTGCAAAACTGATGTGTGGCGTGAGAAAAGTGTCAGTTGTGAATCTCACTGCATGCTGTTTGCAGCCTTTATTTGATTGGTCTGCATAATCACTGACATCTTTAGCTGATGATTCTGCATAACCTCCAGCTCCCTGATTGTAAACTTTCTGTTCTCTTTTCTGTGAACGGAAGTTATTTCTGTCTCCTCGAGCTGGTTGTGAAAAGGTTCTGGAACATTTGCTGTTTTCAGAGGAGCAATGAGCTGCCAATACAGTCTCTTATTTTTATTCCTCTGTGGCTTTGCTGCGCTCACTGGTAAGTTATGGTTTCATTTTGTGGAGATATTTTAATGAACTGAACTAAAACAGCCCCTTTTGCAAATATTACATGCAAACTGCTGCAGTTAGAGTTTGTGCACATCTGCCTTTACTAGAAGCACTTACAGAAAGTCAAATATATAGGGGAGACCGAACATTTTACCTTTTCATTCTACAAATACATAGTGGGAAAATATTCTTTAGATTATTAAAATGTTCTTCACACTAAGAAAAAAATGATTCTGACTGAAAATGGTTTTGACTGGAAAGTTCTTTGGTGAACCAATTTTTTTTCTAGAGCATTGACACGACAACCTTTTGAAACATTAATTTTTTAGCTGTCTGACAGAGAATCCGTATCTCAGTAGGTTTTTACTGAAAAGTCTTATTTGCTAATTCAATCAAGCACTAATTTGTTGGTTTTAAACATCTAGTTGAATTTATATGCTGGATAAATAGGTGAACACAGATTTAAAGGCAGATTTGAACTTGAACATTGTACTGTATTTTCAGAACATTCCTATGTAGTCACAATGTGCATAATAGCCTATACATCGGACATTGTCGTAAGTTTATAAGGCTGTAAAGTAACAGAGCCTCTTTATTTGAATAACCGTTCAGATGTGAAGTAGACTGGGGACTTAGTTTTTGGATTTTGGGTGTCGAAACAGACATGGTACACATGGTTACAGCCAGTGTCCGAAAACTATTCACTAGTTTGGGAGCACTCTAGGTTACATTCTTTACAACCTGTTACCTCTTTCAGCTCGCGCCACCGAGTATAAGCCGATATTGATTCGTGTTCAGGCTCATGTCCGATCACTCTCTCTCTCTCTCTCTTTTCTTCGCTTCCTCCGACAAAACCCTTTTTGGTTTCTTTGCTGGCTCTGCCATGGCGTTGGTTTTGAGACCCAAGCGACGAGTAAAATATCCCTGTGTCCCAATGAGCATACTGTCCAATTTATCTGCCCTAAATAGTATTGAAAATTACTAATATCACATAGAATTTAGGATGGATAGTATGCACATTGGGACGCAGGCTATGTGAGGTATGCCGTAAAGCAGGCCGCACTCTTCCGCTTTAGCCGATAGGAGGCTGTTCAGGTAGCAGCGGCAGTAGAATTCGTCCGGTTAAGAGTTGGTTCTACCACTGAAATCATTTTAGAGACATTATTTTAAGGTGTTGCTTTAAATCAACCGTATCATTTTTATGGTGAATAATGGCAGAATAGAATATTTAACTGAGTTCATCAGTTTTGTTTAAGGTTAATGTCTAATCAGAAATGGGCTTTTAAAAAGAAACCAACCCTGAAAAGTCTGAAATAAATGCTAATATAAATTTATTTTCTTATAGTTGCAGAGATATGTAAAACAGAACTACTAGAGGGAACGTCCTGCACCCTGAAGCTGCCAACAACAAACACTGACAAATCTAGTGAGATCAAATGGGTCCATACCAGCAGTAACGCTGTCATTCTGAGGAAAAATAATAAGAACAGATCAAACACTCCAGGTCTAACACTGGAAGATGATGGATCATTAACATTTGAAAGCGTTAGTCTGAAGAACACCGGCAAATATGCATACGCTGTTTTTAATTCTGACGGTACACTGATTGGTGCTGGAGAAAAGGAAATTAACGTTTATGGTAAGAGGACAAATATTCATATGCTTTCACCATAATAACTGTTACGGGGCTGACAAGACGTGAGACGTGCGGATCCATCTGCAAGGCTTTATTGTGGAGAAGACAGAGACGTGGTCATAAAGCAGGCAGGGTCAAACAGAGGCAGACAGGTAGGGCTAAGGCTAGGGCTAAGGCTAAGGCTAAGGCTAAGACTAGGGCTAAGGCTAATGGCTAAGGCTAATGACTAAGGCTAATGGCTAAGGCAAATGACAAGGGCTCCGTAAGGTAGCTATCTCTAGGAGAGTGATAAACGCTGAAACAATACTCGGCCGAGGGAAGGGATCAGAGTGAGTGTTAAATAGTGAGGGAGTGATATGAAACAGCTGGGTGCAATCAGTGTAAACAGGTGTGTGCAATTCGTGCTGAGTGCAATCAGTGCAATGCATGATGGGAAATGTAGTCCGGGGTGATGTGCAACAGTGTGTAGTGCGAGAGTCAATGAATTGGAAAGTTCATGAACCGGATTCGTGACAGAGCCCCCCCCCCAAGGAGCGGCTTC